CCCCTTCCATGCTTTTGTAATATCTCCCTGTTTTAGGTTCAACAACTTTGTTGTTATTTTACGAAGAAAGTGAAAATTCATCTATTTATTCAGTGACAAATATTCACTTCACTTATGTTAAATTCATGTCTACAGCCTTTATTTCTAGGCTCTACTGTGCAGTAATTGCTTTTATTTTCAATCCTTCATACTATAGTGTTTCTGAAGACATTGTTAGTAGCAATGAAGAATTTAACCAAGTACCATTGCATGTAGATGCAAACTATAGAAAACTGGATAAAGAGTGGCTTAACTAATTAGGGGTTTGTTTATCTAATACAGAAGGGTTCAGAGTAGGCTTCACAAGACTTGTGTGACACTCATAAAATGTCATCAAGGACTCAGGCCCCCGCCGTTCTGTTTGACCATCCTTAGCATATGGTGTTTGTTTTCACATTTGCAAAATGGTTTCTACACCTCCCAGCACCACGTTTGCATTTCTGCAAGGGGGACAGGAGAAGGATGAAGGGCAGAATGGACTTTGTCTTCTCATTCATTAAGTGGAGCCAGAACTGTGTCATGTGATCACCCCGAGCTGCAGAGGAGTGTGGGTAAACAAATTTTGTAGCTAAGCACATTGCTTTCCTAAACAAAACCAGGTTTCTGTATTAAGAAAGAGAGGGAGATGGTTACTGGGTAAATAGCTTTATCTGCCATGGCTTCTAAGTTTGTTTAAAGAAACCAACCAGGAGTTATAAGTACCCTTCTTTCACTTGTGGCTAAAGTGAAGGCAGTGACTATTACCCAACAATTCTTCTCTTCTATTTGCTTCCCAAATTTATTTTGAGCCCTGGCCAGTTTGGCTCAGCAGTTAGAGTATCGGGCCATGGACCAGAGAGACCCAGGTTCGGTTCCCGCTAAGGGCACGTACCTCGGTTGCAGTTTGTCCCCGGCCTCGGTGGCAGCCAGTCGATGTGTTTTTCTCTCTTCCTCCCTCTCTCCCTCTGGCTTTATCTGAAGATAAATGCAAAAATGTCCTCAGGTGAGGGTAAAAAAAAAAAATTATTTTGATACCGGTTGTAAGGTACACTTAGTTTCAGAACAGTCAAATGTCAGGAGAAGAAAGCTCTTTGTGTTAAGGAAATGACTATATAAGTTACTGTTTTTTGAATTCTGGATACACGCCCAGCACATGAAATGTCCTCGATGGCTTCCTGTTGCCACAAAAGGGTACCTACCTTTCCATTCCCCAGGCCCTGCTGTCTCCCCAGTGCCAGCCTCCTGACGTGGTCTGTCCCCTGCCACCGAAGCCTGGGCTCCCCCAGTTCCAGGCCACATTTACCTTGGCAGATCTTAAAAACAGTGCTTGGTGGCATGACTCATCTTCCTTCCTGGTGTCAGTGTCACAAACATCCACTTGAAAACCTCCTTGTCTGGGTTAAATTTCTCCTTTTTATTTATTTGGGTGGTTTGCTGTAGTATTAGTTAATTTTCTGTGGCCTTAGCCCTTTTTTAAAATTTTATTTTTATCATCTGGCCTTATAAGCATTAAGGAGACATGGAAGCCGATAGCAGAACGCTCCAGTCCTGCCGTGTGTCCTGGTGGGCAGCCTGGTTTGTGTAAAACATCGCGGTGGCTCGGACCTGCTCCCCCCAGGCTGCGAGCCTACACGCGGAGCTCTGAGCTCTCTTTCTCTCTTAAAATGAATTTCTTCTATTTCGTATTTTGACATCGACCCATTGTTAAAAAATGTTTAAAGTTTATACACGTAGAGAGTGAAGACTCTTGCTCCCACTTTGTCCCATTACCCAGTTCCCATTCCCTGGACCCCCTAAGCAACCACTTTTGTTAATTTCTTATGTAACCTTCAAGAATTTTAAAAATGTAAATATAAGCAAATACAAATATGTTCCTATTTCTCTTTTCAGAGAAATGTGCCTGGTCTAATTCACAATTCTGGTTTTCTTTTTCATTTATAGATATATCTTGGAGACCTTTTCATAGCTGTGTTAATGGTACAAACAGTTTCTCCTTTTTTCTTTTTAACTTGCATAGTACTAAAGTGATCTCTTTGAAACACAAATCTGGCCATGCCTCCTCATGCTTCTGCTTTAAAAACAGAGATAAAATTACTTATATTTTACTTCTTACATGACTGTCAGTCATTACTGTTGTTAGAAACTGTCTTTGCTTCCTGAGCATTGTCAGTGTGTAATGAATGAGGTATTTGAAATTATTTTGGAACAACAACCATTTCTCTTTTTTTAGTTTCACGGAGATATAATCGACATAACATTGTGTAAGTTTAAGGTGTACAATATAATGATTTGGTGTATTATATACTGTGATACAACGAGTACATAAGTTTAGTTAACATCCATCACCTCACATTGCTTGAACTGTAATCTTCTACAGTGCAACTTCCAAATATTGGCTATAAGGAGGGAGAGGGGTTGAGACATGGATACTTTCAAATATTGCTCATGGGAATGTAAATTGATGTGGCCTTGTATTTTTTATTGAGGTATTATTGACATACAACATTATATTAGTTTCATGTGTACAACATAATTATTCAATATATGTTACAATTTTTTCTTGTGATGAGACCTTTTAAGATCTGCTCTCTTAGCAACTTCCAAATATACAATATAGTATTAACTGTAAGTTAGCATGCTGTACATTACATCCCCAAGACTTATTTATTTTATAAATGGAAGTTTGTATATATATATATATATATTTTTTAATTTTACCACTGTGGCCTTACATTTTACCCTGGTTCCATCAGGAGCCTGAAAATGTCTCTGTCATTCGCAGGGTTTTGTCCTAAAGTAGTATTGTGAGAAACAGCAAAACATTTATAAACAAAGATGTTCAGTACATGCTATTATTTCTAGTGGTGAAATAATATTTCTAGTTACAAGTATGCTAGCTATCCAACAAGGGAGTGATAGTTAACTGTATATCTGCATGATGGAATTGCCAGGGAGATATTAAAATTCATACTGTTTTAAAAAACTTTTAATGACTGGGGACTGTATTAATGACATATTGTTGAGTGAAGGGAACAAGATGCACTGTTTTTACCCAGTCTAATCCTGTGAAAGAAAAGATCAATTGAGCTGTAGGGGACTATAGTCTGGCAATAAGTGTATGTGTGTGTGTGTGTGGTGCGTGTGTATGTGGTATCCATGTTTACAGGACAGGGAAGTGGGGAGGGAAGGAAGCTGTATGAGTGTCTTGGGTGTATCCTGGTATTGAGAATGTATGCATTTTTGGGTACTCTCGTTTTGGGGTAGAGGTATATGTTATATGTATATACTTTATGTGGAAAACCAAGGTGACTATGTAGCAGTTTCATTTTTGATCACTCTCATGAACATTGGAAGTGTGCTGGATATGTAGATCCAATATGGATATTAAATCCAGACCCTTTCCTCTAATTAAAGTTTGATAGTGGCTGTCTAGGTAGTATGATGATAGGTAACTTTTTGTTTTACTATTTCTAGACTTTTAAATATGTTAACTACATGGCTTTTCTAGTCAAAGGCACTAGATCGTGAAGGACATTATGCTACGTACTAAGAAATGTGTATGTTCTTTCAAAGGCAGTAGGGTACTAATGAAGGATTTTAAATAGGGGAATGACATTATCATCTTGATAAGAGTGCACACTAGGATCTTGATCAATATGGGTGACTACTTTTGACCTCAGGAACAATAAAATCTACCTTGTAGGGTTTTAAGGAGGAAATAAGTAGGATGGAGCTGAGGTTTGAAAATAGTATAACTACATTTCTGAAACTATATTAGTAAGGGGAAAAAAGTTAACTTTTCCAGAAATGAAAAGTGACTTAATTTAAGATAATGCCATTATTAATTTGGATTTATAATCATATAGTAATTCTCTCATTTTATAATATCATTGAGCTTAAAGAGGTCTTGCTTTGTCAGCTTTTTATTTTTGTCCATAGTAACTTTGCTCTTTAGTCATTCACCAACTTCACATCATGATCTCCTTGCTCATCATGACAGATTTCCACCTCAGAAACATCAGTTATTAGGGCTTTGGGGGGAGGGGTTGATAGAGGCAATTGGTATGTGACAGCTTGTTCATCAAACATTTTATTTCCTTGACAAGAGGTCTTTTTGGCTGCTTGACCTATCAAAAGGATTTTTTTCTTTGGCCATTATAAGATTTACTTCACCCCTTAAGTTTGTTCTTAGTGCAGATTATCTAGAATCATTTAGGAAGAAGCAAGCTTTTTTCCTCATGTTTTACACACTGTGTTTGAGACATTGACTGTTGTCACCCCATCTAAATTAGATCCTTAAATTAAGAAGATTGATAACATTTTGCAAACTACAAATGTGTTTGCAGCTCTTCAAGAGCACACCTGACCCCTAGTGACTGAGGAAGGAAACATGAAAGATCAGAAGAATGAAAAGAGTTAAGAAATAAGGGTTCAAAGTACAATGGTGCTTGCTGTTTACTCTCACCTTAGAAGTGGAGAGCATTTTTCTCTTGTGAGTTGATGAAAGGATGCTTTCATGCCGGTGGCTACAGCTGTGGGATATATGAAGGAGGTTTCTGAGGGGAATGAAAGTGTTGCTGCTCCCCGGAATCAATGAAATGTCAACATCTCAGATGGGTTATACATGGTTTTCAAATGGTTTTGAGCTTTCATGACTATAAATGTCAGCTCCTATGGGTGGGAGGGAGGAGTGGTGATGGCCTTCCAGAACTGCGAACCTCTCACCTCACACCTAGCCTGAAGGCCTTCTGAATTGTGTCTCAGATCTGGGGAGCCCGGGGAAGAAATCACTGTGCCAGGACTTGCTTAGACCTCTGCTGGATATGCACAGAGTAGACAGTGCATGGTGCCTCTTTTTTTTTTTTTTTTATCAGTGACCTCTGACAATGAGAAGTCAAATTTAGTTCAATTTGGAAATACCTTCATATTGTTTCAGATGAGCATTTCTCCTTATTTGTTTTTGTTTTTTCCCCTCTCTTTAGATAAAGAAGAAGCAGCAAGATGTGGTTAGATTTCTGGAAGCCAACAAGATAGAGTTTGAGGAGGTGGATATCACAATGTCAGAAGAACAGAGGCAATGGATGTACAAAAACGTCCCCCCCGAAAAAAAGCCTGCTCAGGGCAACCCTCTGCCACCTCAGATATTTAATGGTGACCGATACTGTGGAGTAAGTAGTTAGACTGTTATTACACTATTGCTTTGCAGTATTCAAATCACAGTCACCTAGAGTTCAGTGGGTTTTTCTCAGTGAGGACTATAACCTCTTCATCCAGTGCCTATTGAGATCCACAGGTCGAATAGGGGGTGAAATTGAGAAGGAGTGATGAGTCCAGGGTCACAGACTGTGTGTGTGACTCTGAGTACATGTGTGTCTGAGAGTTTTCCTATCTCTGTTTGCTTGGGAAAAGGGGTGGTGGTGGGAAGGGAAGCTGTGTCCATGTTTTTATTGTGTTCTAAATTTTAAAGCATATTTTTTTGATTAATACATTTGAGGGGCAGATTGGAAGGGGTAATTATTCTTGAACCATTATTCCCTTGCAGTATAACAAACTAATAGTGATCATAAATAGTAGGTTTTTGTTTTATTATAATAAGCCAGATGGATCATTATGAACATATAAAATACATTAGGTGCCTTCCTGCTATATATGGCATATGAGAAGATGCCGTCCCTTTTGTCTAGTTATCTATTTTCCTTCTCACCCTTAGGTTACGAAAACAAATCAAGAAGTTTCTTTCTAATGAGTAGTTGGAATTTGCCTTTTGTCAGGGCTCTAAGTATATAAGTCAGTGTTTATTTTGGGACCTATATTCCAGTTCTTTAAGGATGGTCTGGACAAGGGCGAGGGGCTAGGCTACAGTGCTCAGGTGCTTGAGGTGAAATGAACAGCTGGGAGGTCATTAGGGTGGAGAAAAGGGATAACAGAGTGCTTTTGGTAGCTTGAAAGGAAACAGTTTCCTGTGTGCATAAGGAAGAATGAGATATTAAAACAGGAAGCCATAAAAATTTTGCACAGAGTTCTTATACACATGTCAAGAGGAGAATCCTGAATATAGCACTAGGTATAGATTTGAGTTCTACTACTACTATATGTTGGCTGTGACAGCTTTGGAAAGTCACTTATCTCCTTAAGCCTCAATTTTCTCATCTTTAAGCAAGCGATGGTAATATATAACTTACTTCACAGGGTATTTATGACTATTTCTAAAGTACTTATAAGTACATTATTATATAAGAGTAAAGGTTATTATTTTGTGGGTTTTTTTTATATCATGATCTTATATTATATTAGGGGAAGAATGTGGTAACTAAGGGTGTATCCCATTCACAATTACTGAGTCTAGAAAGTGTACTGTTGTGCCTGCAGACCAGAATGAAGTAATAGTTGAAAATGTGTGGAAACTGCACAGTTTCAAAATAAAGTAAAGCTCTTATTTAAATGGTGCTAGAAGTCTTAAAACAAAAACCTAGCAGTTCTCTGTTTCTCAGACTTTGCAGGTATGAAAATGCGGTTATTCAGGTCTTGCAGTTGAGTGGTAAGTTTGGCTGGGTATAGAATTCTAGGTTGGTTTTGCTTCATTCTTTTGATGGTTTTGCTTCATTATAATTCTGTTTCCAGTTCTGCAGTTGAGAAGTCTAATGTCATTTTTGTTTTATCTGTTGTATGTTTTTGTCAGTTTTTTCCATGCCAGTTTTTAAGATCTCTTTCTTACACATATGAGATTCCTAAATTTTTGTTTTTTTGGCAAATTACTATAATATAAGCTATTATTCATTCACTGTGGCAAGTGCTCAGTAGATTCTTATAATCTAAGAATTATATAATTGAGTCATTAAATATGTTCTTATTTTATTTGAAAAATATTTCCCTGCTTTTTTTTCTTGTACTCTTTCTCTGGAGTGCCTATTAACTTAGATATTGGACTTCTTACACTGATTTTCTAATATTATTTTTTTTTGTTTTTGGATTGTTCACATGTAATTTTTTGTTCTACTTTCTAGGAGATTTCATTAACTTAACCTCTGAATCCTTTCACTAAACTTTTTTTATGTCATCTTTTTTCCCCCTTTCTGATTTTTTTTCTTTTTAATAATGTTACGCTTTTATGAGATGAATGCAAGATTTTAGCTCAATGGACATATTAAATATGATCTTTTTGAAGTTTTCTTCTTTTACCAGTATTGCCCCTGTTTCCCTAATTCCTTTTTTTCACTTTGTTTATTTTGGTCTTCTGTCTGGAGTGTGATGGGCTTTCCTCAGATATCTGGTGATCCTTGTCTTTTATTTATTTAGGAGATGAGGCACAAGAAAGCTAATTAGAAGCTGTGGTTATGCTTATAGGCTTCTTCCCACTGGACTTTGCTGTAAGATGATTGGGTAGCCTGTCAACATTCTCATTGCAGATACTGATCATAATAGTATCTGTGGGTCGTTTCATAGAAGATGGTTCAATTTCTTAAGAGAATGGCCCTTCACTCTCTTACTTGGGGAATATCAGCCTGGTTACTAGAGTTCTGGCCCAATAGGGTGAGAGAACTGAAGGGTCTCACTCTCTGTCATGCATGTTTTCACCCCATATCCCTGTTTTCACTCCCACTGTCTATAGTGCTGGTGTTTATAAGTTTGTTGCTTCCCAGAAATCATGTCTATTAACTTTTCACTTCTTATACCCTGGAAGTATAACTGCTGCTTATATAGATTTTCAGCCTTCTTGTTTCCTTACTGCCCACTCACCCCACTTTCACAATAGCAGATGTCTCCAATTGCTGATGTTGTCTGGGGGCCCTGCAGCTTATTTTTGTTGATGCTGCCTCTGCAGACATTAAGGTTTGACCATCCTCTGCTCTCTAATGACCCTCACTATTTCTCTACCTACTTCCTTCATATGTTCAGGGCTATAGATGTCAGTTAGTTGTTGTTTGTTTGTTTGTTTTTTTAATGGAGTTTCTGGGCTTTCTAATCTTTGTTGTTTTATTGAGTTTTCAAGAGAAAGGAGGTAGAGACATCTTTGCTGTATCATCATAAATGCAAAACTCTTCAGGGCCCTTTGAAAAGAGGAATATATTAAATGAATAAAAGAGTTGTGAAGTAAATCCTTCTATTTTGTTGACCTCTTTTTGACTTTCTAACATTCTGTGTATCATTGCCCTTACGGAATCTATGGAAATTTTATCAGACGGACTGGGATCTGGCTAGAGGCTTACATATTGATTAAACTATGACAAGTAAACGGCATCTTCTCAGCTTGAGCAGCATAAGTCCCGTGGTGATGGTCACAGTAGCACTGGTATATGCACTCTGTCTTTAAAGTCTGTTTTGGCAGGCATTTTGAAGACAGTATCTGCTCTTATCAGGTCAGGTAAATTTGACTTGGACAAAAGCAAAAGCATTAGAGGGCAACTTAATAATCACGGCCTCATTCACCCCAGCTGCTTCTCTGCACCTTGCTTTACCCAGTGATAGTTTATGAGTGCTGTGCTCTGATTGGATAACCTGTGGAAAACAGCCACCTTGCAATTGACAGTACCCAGTAAGCATGAAGATTCTCCTACTTCCTGGAATTGGCTGGAAACCTAGTGCTTTATTTTTAACTGGATGAGCTGGGCATCTGAGACATAGACAGCCACTAATCTTCTTGGTAACAAATATGGACAGTGGCCTTCTTTAGTCTCCACTGAATGGAAGGTCCCTGGCATGCCCAGTCAGTTCTTCCCTACCCCAGCATTTGAACATTAAGGGGATGATACAGAAACACATTACTTAGAGATTGGCATTGAGTGTTCAGAGGTAATAGGGCCAGGCATAGCCATGGCTGATGTCCTAATGAAGCTGATGCTGGGGTGTGGCCTGGGGTCGTCTTGTCTACCCAGATGTAGAAATTCTTCCTGTCTTCTGAGTCCTCCAGCTTTAAATGTAAATTATGTGAGTTCCCCACAATATCTTCAAAATCCTTTCCCTTTTAGGTTGCCAGTGTCCATTTCAGTCATTTGTAGTCAGAAACTCAAATTGGCACAGACATTGTTCTTGCTGTTTCCCTGGAGTGTCCTAATATGAGTAAGATTCTTCTCAGGAAATGGGGTCCTAACAGTAAACATCCCAAAATCTAGAATTTTCTGATAGGTTTTAGTGTCTGATTTGGATTTTGGGAAGCTCATGTCCTTGTGTTCAAGATGTAAACTTGTCTGCAGAACTGGCATGTGTGGAATGCACCAGAAATCTACACAAAAGGATAATATTTACTCCCCTTTCATTTCTTTTCATTTTCTCCCTAGTCAGCAAAAAAAGAGGGAGGTTGGATTTCTTTATATATTTTATTATTTTCTTACTAAAATATTTTTATTGTGGTAAAAAACATGTATCATAAAATTTACCATCTTAACCACTTTTAAGTACATGTTCAGTAGCGTTAAGGATATTCACAGTTGTTATAAAACAGATCTCCAGAAATTTTTCATCCAGCAGAAATGAAACTCTGTACTCATTAAATATCTCCTCTCAACTCCCAGCCCCTGGTAACCATCGTTCTACTTTCTATATCTATGAATTTGACTTCTTTAGGTACCTCATAGACATGAAGTAACAGTATTTTTTCTTTTGTGACTGGCTAATTTCACATAATGTCCTCAGTGTCGCACCAAGGTGACAAGGTTTTTGAGACTCACTATTTGCCATCTCGGGCATAGTCATAGCTTACTGACTGACACAGCTAGAGTGAGCTTCTCTGTCGGCCATTTCAAGTCTATGATAGTGGACCTGTATAGGTTGCATTTTAATGGCATCTATCTGCTGCTTGATGAAAGCCGTCACCTTATTGAAGAGGAAAGGTCCTAGTGACACAATCAGTAAAAGGCCAAGTAAGGGGCCCAACAGAGGGAGAAGATAAGGCAGCACCCCATTTAGCCTGCTCCAAAGGGGGTTATTGAAGAAACTCTTTTAAGCAGCAGCGTTACTGTAAGGCAGTCGCATGGGGGGGCCAAATAAGGCCCTCAGGAGCTCATCGGGGTTTGGAGGAGGCCCAAAACCTCCTTCCACAAGCAGGCAAAGATGCAGTAGTATCCCTAGCAGTAAGATTTCAGCCTTCTGGTCCATTCCTGAAATAAAGAAGAAACAGGAAAAGCCTCTCAGGGCGAATTTTCGTCCCTGGAGTTATCTATATGGTTATCTG